CCCAACCTGAAAGCAAAAGGCAGACGCGTTTTGTCCTAACGTCAGCCTCCCGTAAACAAGACGCCTGCCTGGACGAGCAGATGGCAGAAGAGAGTTGAGAGGACAGAGCTCAGAGCCGGAGACTGAGACCCTGTGGGACACACCCAGGGCTGGGCCTGGAACACACCCCAAAGTGACTATCGTCTGTGGTGGTGTCAGCATTTCTTGGAACTGGAGACCAAGAAACAAAGTTCAGAACACAAACGAGCATGCTTTTACCTCTAACAATGGAACAGAATTGTTAGCGATGTGCACCAAAGTTTGGGTCCAGAGGCAGCCATTTAAATGGCAGGAGAAATTGTCCAAAGGACAGTACTTTGGAAAGGATGCATGACAGTCCCTTACTATATTCGCAGGGCCAGCAGGGACCACCACCTGCCCACCAAAACTCACAGCAGGAGGCCTACCTTCTCTGTCACCCAGAGTCCACACAGCGGCGTCAGCACGGGTAAACTTCAGGTTATCCGGACAATTGCTGTTTACAGTGAGGCTGGGTGAGATCACTAGTTCTAGCATTTCCTTGTACCTGAAAGAAAACAAAGGGAAATATAATTTATTCATTAATTATGCATGCTTACTAATGATTCCTATTTCTTTCCCTAAGAGTATAAATATTAAAGCTGATTACCTAAACCTAGACTTCTACATAATAAAAATTCACTAAACTTTTCATCAAAGGGAAATGAGGAATTAAAATGAAGTACTTGCTCCCCCCCGGAGAATACACCCACTCGATAAAAACATTCCCCTCCTTCATACAGTATTTTGCCATCAGAAAAATTATATTTTGGTCTCTTCTAAATGTCATCTGAATGAGCTGGAGTGAACTAGGGAGATTTCCCAGAAGAGGAAGGGAGAGACAAGTGGAGAGGAAGCGTTTGGACTCGGATTCCCAAAAGCCAGAGGCTTGAGGAGAACTTGGAATTGACTGTGGTTGAGAGAAAGACGGACATGGCGTTATTTGCACAGACAGAGAAAAACTCAAAAGGTGTCAGCGATATTTAACAAGTCCCTCTAGACACCAAAAGTTCACAACCCATCACCGTGGGCACTATCAAGAACGAAAACACTGCCTCCTGAATTACCCACGATTTCGATAACATGTTATAGGGGGCAGGGGAGAATAGGGACAAATCTCCTTGGGTCTTTCTCACTTTTTATTGAAAACATTTCCAACTCTTGCACCACGTCAGGAGTTATTCCTCCTAAATTCCTACCCACTGTGGTTAGGAAATGAGGTTTCTAGTTAATGCTCTAAATACCATATGTGGCATAGCAATTTTCAAAGGTCTAAACTACAACCAATAACGTTTAATACTGATTCAAGCTGTCTTCAGAGAAAGGCTAAATTTATTGAGAGCACATCATTATCACAAGGTCATCCTTGGCACAATCAGTTATTATTGGGTTAATAACACACAATGTACCTACTGACTGACGGTGTTCTAAACTCAGATTCCATTGTAAAGACGTCATGGTTTCCAATCCCAGTTTTGCTACTCATCTTGAGCAAGTTGCCAAACTGCTCTTAATTAAATGTTTTCTCATTTGGAAAATGAGGATTATCAAAGTACCTCCCTGACATGGTGAAGATTAAGAGGTGACGCTTCTAAAGAAAGAAATTAGGCAGCAACCTAAATGCCCATTCACAGCTACAGGAATGAAAAACTGCAGGCAGCAAGTTCATATAATGGAACACAACACAGCAGTGAAACACACGGAGCTGGCGCTGTCCAAACAGATCACCAAGCAAAGTGTCCAGCAGAAGGGGACCCACAGTATGATAGCATTTCTGTGAAGTTCAAAACATACAAATCAATGTTATTTACTGTTGAGGGATATAGACGCATGCAATGAAAAGATAATAGTATGTATAGGAATGATAAAGACCAATTTCAGGAGACTGGCTAACCCTCAGTATTGGAGGGGTGCAATTTAGGAAGTGGTACCCTAAGGGCTTCAACTCTTGTTTGTAGTGTTTTAGTTCAGAGGTTGGCACAAACTATGGCCCATAGGCCAAATCCAGCTGATGGACAG